AGGCTCACTGGGCAAGGGCCCCGCAGGCCACACTGGGCCAAGGCAGCCAGAAAACCAGCCACTATCTCTATCCTACAGGACAGACAGAGGATCCACCAGCATCCTCGACTCGGCCTCCCCCTGGCCCCACACTTCACTTCGCCATTAGCACATGTCTCACCATCCATGGTGCATCAGAGTGGAACCAGCAGGGCTTTTCCTTTGTTCACGGTCCAGAAAAGAACATTTTACAATTGATGGGTCCGAGATTCAATGACACAGGGACATGAACAGTGAAATAGGGAATAAATACTGAAATGGACGTGCAAGGTGTCCCCGGGAGGTAGAATCTGGAGTGAAAAATTCCTTCCAGAGGCTGCAGCTCTCCTTAGTCTCCTTAGTTTTCTACTCCTGCCGTGGTATGATGTTCTAGAAGTTAAGTCTTCAGGTGTTGGAAAGGCCAGGACTGGGCCCTCTCACCGGGGCCTGGTTGTGAAGGGCCACTCAGACCCGGGCACCGTCTGACCCCCGCACACTTCCCACCTTCCCTCCGCATGGGAAAACTACGCTGGCCAGTGGCTCTGGCACCGCCTCGGGTTGGTACCTCACCCACGAGCACTCAATCCGCCGAAAGAGGTCCTCCAGCTCTCGGTGAAACCGTCAAGGATCACAGCCACCTCAGCTGGCTCCAGGAGGCTACATGCCTGACACCAAGCAGACACGAGCCTGCAGGAAATGCGGGAGACCCACCTCCGGCTTGCAGCCAGCAGCCACACCAACAGCCTGTCTGCGTGTTGTCACACTCTTCCTCCGAAGGAACACTCGTAGCCCTCCCACCCTGAAGCAGGCTCATGGGAAACCCCACATTGGGGTCTACAGGATAGATGCGTGTGGTCCTGGGGATTGTCCCGCCCTTGTGGCTGATGACAGAAGTGGGGGCCTGAGCCCTTGGCCTGTGGGTTCTATGCTTACTTGGGGGCATCAGCATCAGAACGGAATGGAATTTGCGGACACACAGTTTGTGTCCGGGAGCCAAAGTGAGCCTCTGCCTTCCTGGGACGCCTTGAGGGTGGAGACCATGTCTGCCTCCTTGCCACAGGGCCTAGCAGGGGGAAGCAATCCGTACCTATTTCCTGAGTGAATGCAGACTTGCTGGGTTCACAGGACTCGTCTGCAATAGTCAAGGAGAAGCTTGTGAATGAAACGGATGGCACCAGGAGTGAATCAATTAGCCCCATGGAGGATTGTCTGGTGATCATGGTGGCGACAGAGAAGCAGGACTGCCCCCGCCCTGACATCCAGTGCTCTCCAGCGAGATTAAAACCATATTGGTTTTTTTTGTGTGCAAGAAATCAGTATCAAGGAAGCTGTCTTCGATTTCTGTTGCTTTGTAGGGAGCGTGGCTTCCTGTGACACTGCCCAGGCTTCTGAACACGCCACAGGAAGCCAAGCTCTCACCACACTTGGCACACGGCACTTCAGGGTGTTTGACTCAGGCCCTGCAAGCAGGAACTGCCAGAGGCCTGCCCGAGGCCCTCGATGAGTGTGTGGGAGACCAGCTCTGAGAACGAAGAGGGTTTGCAGGTGGGGCCTCCCAGGGTCCACTGGGCCGTCTTCGCCTGAAATCCTCAGTTCTGAAAAATGCTAGCGGAATCCTCGCCGCCAAGGACTCATGTTTTCATCTCAAATGGCACAGCCATATGCAGGCGCTTCCTGGGATAAATTTCAAGTCGCTACTCATTGGGAGTCTGCAACATGTGGTGTGAAAATCAAAATGCCACCACCCAGGCTTCCACCAAGATGGAAGGAGTCGGAGCCCCACGCCCAGCCTGGCAGCACTGGCTGGAGGCAGGTGGGGTGGCCCATCCTGCTGCCCACGCCTGCTCCCACCTGTCTGCCACAGCAGATACTAACTGGTATCTCCCGGGCCAGAGAAGATGCAGGCTGCGGCTCTCTCACGCGGACTCACTGTCTGTCACACAGGTTTCCCGGGGAAAACTGCTACCCTATTCAATGATTCCTGCATCGGTAAATGTGTGCACTCCTGTTGGAATGAAGCTGTGACTCAAACGTCTTCCTTGCTGTGTTACAGCTGCCTCGAAATCCCCAGGGGGTGCAACACCGCAAGTGGGCAACCTCTGGAGCCCCAGCCATCATCTGCCTGCATTTAGAGTCACCCTGACTTCAGAAGGATCTTTTCCGGCTTTCACTGCATCATTTGTTCAGGCCAGCTGCTCACTGAGGCCCGAAGTGCACTCTGACATCCCCAGTGGGCATCAACCCCTGCCAGGGAGCTCGGGCAGCTGTGGACAAAGCAGCCTGGACCTTGCACCGTCTGAGCCACCAGAAAGCATCAGAGGGTGGGCTGTGACTCTCTGGGGAGGTGGTCTGTAAAGTACCTGCAGGGGCACCCAGGGCTGCCTGGGGTCTTGACAGCCACTCTGCAGAAGCAGCACGGCCTGACTTCAGTGGCCTCGTTGGTCCTACAGGGATACGACTGCTAACAATTTCCAGAAACTCGTTGTTGGCAGGTGTGGCCGGGGGCCGGGCAGGTGCCCTGCCCCGCCACTCCACCTTGCAAGCCATGTTTCTTCTTCTTCTCTGCTACTCAGCAGCAGAAAGAGGCCTCTGCACATGTCGGCCTGAGAGCCCAGCTCCACTGACGGACAACACAGACATTCAAGCGGGAGCTGCTCTGGGGAAGAGGCCCGCCATCACCTTCCTTCACATGCCAGAGAGGGAGGGTGGAAAGGCGTCTGGTTTTCTCTGTGGAGGCAGGAAGATCAGTCCACCCTGGATGGAGGTCTTGGGCCTTCTGAGAGTGATCACTGCTGGTTTCATGAGCGTGGAAGACACATGTGGGGAGGGGCGTGTGCGCACGCACCTGACGCCGGCCAGAGCATACGTGCACCAGGTGAGCCTGGAACTGCAGGGAAAAGGAGCGCGACCGGGCGAGTCTGGTGCTGGTCCTCAGGAGTGTGCAGCACCACGTGGAGGCGGGAGGTGGGCTCACTGTGGTTCCCACATGTGGCTAGTCCATGCACAAGGCGATCGCTTGTCCCCGGGTGCCCCCTGCAGCATGGCTCCCGTCACTGTGGATTTTGGAGGTCCCGTCTACATGAGAAGCCCTGTGCTGGAGCCACTGTGACCCCGCGAGCCCCTTCACCGTCCTCATTACCAGCTCCCCACCCTGGCTCACAGGCGTGCCTCCTCTCTGCCCGCTGTGACGGACACTTGACGCAGCAGCACTAACAGGGCTGCTCCCCCTCAAGTCTAAACCCCTCCAGAGAGCATAGCAGCCCCGCTGACACCTTCTTAGAGTCGCAAAGCCCATCCTCATTGGGGGCCCTGGCCACAGCGGAAGCAGGGACTGGGGCTCAAGGCCAACAGCTGTAACTAGACCAAAGGAGGGCGGTCCATGACTCTCTTTTTCTCTTCCGTTAAGCCAGAACATTTTAGCCACTTGAAACCTGGCTAAGATATAGATGACCAGATTCAAAATGATTTGAAGTTTGTAAAAAATAAAATTGAGGGCGTTTGCCCAAGTTCACTCTGTTGAGTACCGGCCACTGTGGCTCAGCCATCGAGCTGAACCCTGCAAGACAGAACTGGAGGGGCTGCAAAGAGTCTCCCTGAGGAGTGAGCAAAAACCTCTGGAGGTCAGAGACTGTGGCTTCCTCGCTCATCCTAACCCCACTTCCCATTCACTGAGAACAAATAAAATGCCCCATGTGCCCCCGACACTGACTCGTGTCAGGGTTAGTGGGTTCCAGGAAAGCCCCATGGCCTCAAAAAGAGACAGAGTCTCCAATTCTCTTTCTAGGAAATGCTCAGAAGGCAAATCCACGGGCAGAAAGTAGATGCATGGCCGTACGGGCTGAGGCAAGGGCCGGGGGTGGCTGCTGCAAAGGCAGGAGCTGCCCTTTGAGATGATGCAAATACTCTGAAGTGTGTGCAGTGGCTTAACAACACTGGGGTGCGATGTATACTTGAAACTGGCAAACTGTGTTCTCTGAATTTTAGCACAATAAGACAAAAGAATGGCTGTGTCTTACCTTCTTCCCAAAGACTTATTAGAACTGCTCACTCTGCTTCATAATCCCAACAGCAAGGGTTGGGATCGTTTTTAAAGCTGGGGAGCAACCAGCCAATGTTACCATGAGGGTCCCCCTGGACAGTGGGTTGTCTGTCCCCTCGCCCCCAGGGGACCCATGTGACTTCACTGTAGATGACCGACTCCAATTCAGAGAGTGGGGCTGTTTAGGAAACACAGCTTCCAGAATGTTAGGGCAGAAGAAACCACGCAGACACCTCCCAGACAAACCTTCCCGAGACAGGGGGGCAGTCACAAGACTCCGAAAGCGACGTTTTAGTAGCGTAATCACCCACAGAGTGAAGCTCAACATTCAGTCAAGAAGAATCATTTTGATTATTGAATTTGAAGATTGGATACCTTTGAAATGAAACATGTCACAAACTCCACCGAAATAAGAAATACCTTTTTTAAAAAATATGAATTGGTTTTGAAAAGAACTACATAGTGGGGGGTGGGGGGTGGGAAAGACCAATTTAAAGATCTTTGCAAGCTTAGTACAAACGAATCAGATTTGAGGGCTGTTTGGCAACATTATTAAATGTAATTCTTTGTGTTTTGTTTGATATAAACACACACATATATACCAGGTACATATGTATGTTTAAATTAATTTATTTCCTGTGGAAAGGAGGGTTTAAAGGATTCTGTATTTCTTCTTTCCATTGAGTCTAATACTGGATTGTGATGATGCAAAGGTTCTCAGAATATTACGCTCATCTTTTTCCAAGGGTCAAACACCAAAGAAAAGAAAATGATTGAAACACACGCACACAGTTTTCTGGAAGGTATGGAAGATTAAGTAGACATATTGATTGTTCTGAGCCAGGAAGAAAATGCGGGCGACTAGAAGAGGTCTGGACAATCACGCAGAGCCCGCGGGGGGCCGAGCGTGTCCAGCCACCAGAGAGGCAGGGTGGAGACTTACCAAGCACGTCCACTGGGGGGCACACGGCAAGAAAGTACAGGATACACAAGTGACACAAAAAGGAAAATAATAAAGTCAAACTAATATTCCAGCAGAGTCTTACCTTTGCGGGTTAAACCGTCCATGGCCTGCCACTGAATTTTATGTGACACAGTTAAACCCCACTAAGAGGGGCACATCTGGAACCCCATCCCTGGCTAGCTGGTACCCCTTCCTTGACATTTAAATAGTTCTTGCTACTTAGCAGTAAGCACCCCTAGAAAATACAGTAAGGCTTTGAAAAAGAGAAAGTCTATTCCCACAAGAGGCCAACTACACCACTTCACCAAGAAAACCTTTCAAGAGTGATTTATCCTAATGTGTAAAGCAACTGGGGGACACCTAGAAAACAAAGTTGTAGGAGAGGCGGAAAATGAAAAGAAAACGGAAGAACTTCACTTGATAGCATAGTGGCGAATGGCACGCTAGGGCAGGACTCCGAGATCTGTGTATGATATTAGCTTTGCAGCCACTGGTGGAAAATGATCCATTCTACTCTTGAAATATCAGGCTTAGGGGTTAACAAACTAAAATGTTCTGGTTCACTTTTTCTAAGAAAGTCTGGATTAACAAGAAGCTTTACCACAGTAACTTTTAAAGTCGTAGCGATGTGGGACTTGGTTCCATCAGAAACGTGCTGATTTTGTACGTCAGGTGACCGACGTTGACAAAATAACAGATGTTTCGCACACCCAGTCCTGCCTTCCTCCCCAGCTGGGTGATGGCCGACTCCAGGCGCCCCTTAAGGCCAGGAACGGACATCAAGCAGCAGGTGTCATGGGCCCACAAGGGACACTGTTCGGAATTGGGGGGGTGACCGGGTAGGGTCCCCTTCATCGAATAAAGGGCTGACTCTGCCCTGTGGGGCCCTGGGCACCAAACCTCTCAGCGGGCAGGGACCATCTCTACAAGCCCCACTGTTCCTCCAGCTTTAAGCAGGTGTGTGTGAGTTGCCTTCAGCAGAAAACAGGTCCAGTCACCCACAGCTGAGGCACATGCCAAGTGGTTTTGACATGATTTGGGGGTAAAATTGGGGGTAAAAAAAGATCAAACTCATCATTAAACTTTTTTTTGAGTCATATTTAAATACCTTTAGGTTACAAATTACCACCTTCTCTCTTATAATAATGACTCAAAGTGACATAAAATGGGATCTGCAGAGTGAAAATTAAGTTTGAAACACACAAAAATAAAATAGGGGTGTCTGTTACATACAAGGTAGTGGTAAAAATCACCCCTAAGTGCACAAAAAGACATTTATAGTCTTGAAAAGGAGAGTCAGAAGAATTTTCAGAGCCAAGATGACAGCTTCTGAAAAAGCTGAGACAAAAAATGTCCTTGATTATCTCTTTGAAACATGAAAAAGGAAGTGATTATTGGCTTAAAAAAAATCAGATTTAGCATGTCAGGACAGTATGTATATCTCCAAAGAGTTCATCTCTGCTAATATCTGGTGAAAATCCTAGAAGGAACTACTAACACTTTCTGAAGTCAAGAATTCAAGGAGTCACCACTTGAAGGGGAAAAAAAAAAAACAAAAAACCTCCCTAAGTCTCAAAAGACATTTTAGCAGAAAGGGAAACTTTGCTAACCAGACCCAAAATAACTAGAAGACTCATCATTTCTTACAGCCCTTAACTTGTAGGCCTCTTAGTCCATTCTCAAGCCATACGTCCAGAGTAATATACAAGCAAACATTCACTTAGGATGTCGTCTCTGGTACCCTTCTAGAAACTTCCATTTACCTCAGAAATACACAAATGTAAGCACTTGAGTCTAAAATAAAATGCACTTAGGTATTTTGGAAGGGAAAAAAAATTAAGTGTTTTAAATGGTACCCTAGACTAACCAGAAAACCACCTAGAACCTTCCAGGTTACTGATCTGACTTGGCCTGTACACTTCTAAGCATGTGTCATGGTGCCTTGTCTGGAAGGGATATGGTATCTGACACAGCTAGAGACATGGTGGGGCTGAAAAATGATACATTCTCTCAGCTGTCAGCTCCAAGTGCCTCCCAAACCCTCATAACTAAATGCCAATTGCTCCTAGGTCCCCCTGAGACATCTCTTTGGGTTACACCACCCAACAGCCTCTTCTCTGGAGCGTTGATAGGGAGCTCCTTATACTCCCCAGGTGGCACTGGACAAGTCCAATTACCAGAAACTTCCTTTTGTGTTGCACTGCAATCAACCTATCAGGCTTTCTCAGAAATCCAAATTCTGCTAATTGGATGATGTCAGAAACAGTGAGTGACAGACAAGGCCTGTCTCAGCCTCATGGAAAATTCAGATAAAAAGGATCATATCATCACTGTAAAAGAACCTCTGTTCTCTGAAAAGAGACCTCTGGAACCACAAAGGGAAAATAGCTTTTTAACCTCGTCCTTTTCACCCAACTCCCAAACCTTCCCCAAGTCACCAGTACCCTCCTGGGCTCTCCCGCTCCGAACTCATTCATTCTCTCTCAAAGCCTGGCCCATCAGGTGAAGTCCAGCTCCAGATGTTTACTGGCTTTGCTCCCAGGGACCTCAGATTCAGTGGAGTGGGAGCCATTTATAACATTTACCTCCAGGCTCACCATGTGACTGTCCAGACGCACTGCCTTGGTGAACACTGACTCCCAAGGTTACACAGAGTATGGATTTCAGAAGCGCCAAGCAAAACACAGCCAAGCAAGTGGGCAGAACCAGCAAACTCTAACCCTGGCTACCAAATGGGCCCTCTTCGTCTTGAGATGGCTTTCTGTATTTTTCCAGGAACCAGGAGACCTTTTTTTCTTTTGAAATGCCAAAGCTTAGCAATACTGTCCTGCTCTTCTGCCTCCTCCCTTTCGCAAACTGTTCCATCTCTCCAATGTCTTTCTCTGAATTCCAAATAAGGACTGACTGCTAGCTGAGGAAAGAGGAAATTTGGCTTTCTACCTCTACTGAGGGATTCTACCTAAGGTCATCGCACACAAATGGTTAAACATTACCCACAGGGCAACCAGATGGGAAAAAAAGCAGAAAACATCCGTTGTGAAGCAGCATTAAGTGACTTACTATTACAACAACAGACTGGAAGAAAGGCCACCTTTCAAGATGGAGAGAGACCCTACACCAAGTCTTGGTAAAATGGCACAGGGGAAAAGGAGGAGGCAGCTAGATTCTCCTCTTCCAGCTCTCAGTGCATGCCGCAAGAATGAAGCTTGGTCACAGACAGGACAATGAGGGCTGGAACTCGGGAGGCGGGGAACAGCCACTCTGCTCGCCCCGTTGAGTGTCCACCTCACAACCAGCAGCAAAGACCCAGGATGCAGCCATCGCCAACATTTTCACAAGACTTAACAAAGGGTTTGGAGATTACAGGCTGTGCAGTTGGAGGAGAAAGTGACATAATCTCTAATAATTACTACCGAACATTTGCATGAAGGCTTTTGTATGCACCCAAAGCTTCCAAGGAATTCAGAGGTTCATGACAACAGACAATAGACTGGAAACTGCCAACTGCTGGAGACAGAGGTGGGGGAGGGGCCGAGGCCGGCACAGCTTTGCCGGAGCCTCCAATGAACAGGCAGGCTTGGCCCGGAGAACTTCCACCGGCACAGCCGCCATACGCCCCTCCGGGTATGGAGGGGCACCCGCGTGGAACTCAGCCTTCACGGGGGACCGGCCTGACTCTCCTCTCCTCAGAGTAAGGGGCAGTGGTGGAATTGTAGTTACCTTTCTTGGCTTTCTTCTGCAGCTTCAGCGTATCTGAGGACTTCTTCTTTATCTCTTGGCGAGCTTTTTTATATTCTAAGAGAAAGCAGAATATGGAATAATTTTATCACTTTGCTCCACAAAGTATCTTCCACGTGGTCACGGGTGACCTTCCGCCCCAGCAAGCGTAAACCGGGACGTGCAACTTACAGCTTTCTCAGAATATGACAGGATCAAAATCTCACGACAGCATTTTGCAGCAAAGGGGCTATTACTGTGCAAAACCACAAAACCTGCCTGGTCCCTAAAGCATTCACTCTTCAGTCTTTGGGGAAAGACATGGCTTGGGGACATTTGAATACAAATGAAAGAATCAGGAAAAGGCTTCAGTCTCACCTACTCTTCCAAGCCCCCAATCCGCAGGGCTTTGCTCAACAAAGCAGCCAGGAGGCCACAGGTGAGGGAGCATCTCGCGCTGCCATAAGAGCAAGCCAGGAGAGGGCAGCTCCCACCGTGGCTGCGATACCAGGCACGGAGGGGGTGTGCCACGGCCCCCGCCAGCCACAGCCCTCCCCCCACCCACACAGGCTTCCCCTTCCCTGCTGCTGCGTCCCCACTCCCCAGAAGTGGCCACGGCACGGGCAGCTGCCGCAGTCCTGGCCCATCCAGGCTTGCCTCCCGTCAGAGCACCCTGCTACTGTGCTTCGCAGATGCCACGTGGTGATTCCCTGCCACGGAAGGTCTGTGCCAGCCCTGCATCCGTGGGCACCAGTGACCAGCAGCACGAGCTGTCAGTATGTCTATTGCTCTCTGTGCCATAATGCTACTGGACTCTCCGCAGGCCACAGGGCAGCGAAACGTAACTTTAATTTTGAAAACCAGAAGAACGCACTTCTCCAAGTTCACCCTACTGGGGTGGTCCTGCGTGGAGCCGCGCATCGCTGAGATGTGACTGTCACGGCAACGCCATCAGCTCCCTACGGTCACTCCCGGGAGCGCCTCTTCCCATCAGAAGGAAGCAGGCAGAGTCCGAGAGTCCGTGCTCCTGGAACTGCCGGCAGCTGCTGCTTGCCAGTCCCACCCCGTCAGGCCTGCCTGCTGCCTGCACCCCCCGCCCCCAGCACTCCCCACAGTGCCTCCTGTCCTTCCACAAGGCAGCACCCCGATCGGCTCCAGGAAGGCAGGGCAGCGTCTGTCGGGATCACTCTCCCCAGAGTCTGGGCACATGAGGGGATGTGACATGGGGTCTGTAGGCAAATGCAAAGGATGGCCAGTGTGGGCAGGAGACCCCAGGTGGGTTTCCATCATTAAAGCTGTGGGTTTCATTTGTGCTGAAATGCCGGAGTATGCATTTGGCATTTAAGCCTGCTAATTCAGCACAAATTTATTTATTAGAAACTTCAATGAATTAGATTAATATTAATTCAAAACACTGTGAATCAGGTGAGTTCACAATGAATGCCATCAGTTGCTGACTGAGGCTTCATGCTCACAACAGCAGCACTGAATCCTGCAGAGGGTCACTGTTGACGGCACACCCCCAGTGCAGAAGGACACCAGCAAGGACAGGGCAAGCCTCAGGGTGACACCGGTAATCCCGGAAGGGCACCAGGCCACTCCTCACCTGACGCTACCCCGTGACCCACAGCTGGCCCAGTACCTTTCGCGTGGTCTTTATCCAGCTGGTTGGCCACTTTCTTCCATTCTTCCATCTGTTCTTGTAGGGGGTTTATCAGACAATCAATCAAAGCACTTTCACAAAAAAAAAAAAAAAAAGGGAAGGAGAAAATTAAACAGATTCTGCTATCGAGATTCCCCAAAGCCAGTCAAGGCAGCACACCCAGCCCCAGCCCCCAGCCATGTCTGACTCCCAATTTCACAACCACCTGGTTCTCAGGATGCTGTTCAGTGCCTACTGGAAGTTGTGACTTAACGGAAGAGCGACACGTCTCGCTTCCAACGCTGCTTCCAACAAGCAAGACTGCGACGAGCAGGCCTGCCCTCGGCTGCACACAGAAGCCCGGAGAGCTTCAAAGGGGTGACGACACCGGGGCCTTGCCTCACCCCTAATAAAGCCGTGAGGGTGGGCCCAGCAGTGCTGCTTTTACACAGCCACAGGAGATTCTGATGAAGTCATGCGGGAGACGGACCGTGGATACCCCCAAAGGGGGTGCGGAGGGGCGGCTTCCAGGTCAGGGGGCGAGGGTATCTCCAGGTATGACCCTGCGTTTGGTGTGGTCTCCCCGAAAGATCACTTTGCCACCTGCAGGACGGGGGTCCCCACACAGAGCACTTGGGGTGCCACAGACCCCCGGCTCACCCGTGCAACGGACATTTCACACCAGAAGGCCGTAGGTCCTGGGCCTCTGGACACCTTTGGTTCTCGGAGCCCCCCCCCTCATCAGGGCCCGCGGGCAGGGCCCTCGGCTCCCAGGCGCCCAGCCAGCACCGGCACAGCTCCAGGAGTCAGCTCCGGTCCCCCTTCTGAGTTAGATGCTCCCTAAGCACCCCGCCGCCAGCACCCGCCGCCCATCATTTCCTGGCCGAGGGCTGTTCCTGTGTCCCTCACTTGGCATCTAGAGCCCAAGTTGCTGAGGTGGTTACGCCTCACTGTCCTCTTCCTAAGAGGCTGCTGCAGGCGCAGGACCCAGAGGCCTCAGCAGGATGATGCACAGGAGCCCAGGCTCGAAGGGGGGCAGTTTCTGCAAGCGGAGGGACTGTCTGGTTCTCGCCACAGCCCTAGGCGGGGACCAGGGTACAGCGGCGCCCAGCAAACACAAGCAAAATGAGAGGTGGGCCACGACGAGGTGGGCTCTGGGGGTCTCAGCGCCGCGGGGAGACCATGCTGTTGCCTCCACCGCAGTCGGCAGGGCCTGGTGACCGGGACCCACGCTCACCTGGAGAACTGCCTCAGCTTGGTTTCTATGCTTCTGTGTCGCATGCACATCCTGGTCAGAGCGGAGCCGATCTCCCGGGTGCCACCTGCAAAAGCAACAGAGGCCAGGTTGAGGGCCGGGACGCAGGGCTGGCCGCGAGCTCCCAGAGAACCGGAGGGCAGCCAACACGCTGAAGCCCAGGTCACTGGCCCCAGACGCCTCTCCCACGCACACGTGAGCCCATGCACGTGAGCTCGCACACAGGCACACACACAGGCTACCATGTGCAGAGGGCAGCTGCACAGAATGGCCAGAATGGCCAGAACGAAAGCTACCTGACCTTACAGAATACCCTACTTGACCCCCTTTAAATGCTGGTTGTGACCATGAGCTGACTTTTTTTTAAGATTTATTTTATTTATTCATACAGAACTGGGGTACAGGCCAGAGATGCGGAGGGTAAGAGGACCCACCAGAGACAGAGTGGGGAACAGAACAGGCAGATCTAGGAAGTACACTGCTGAGGGGAGCAGCGGGAGAGTCAGGAGGGGTCTGCTGCGCCATGTGGTCACCTCCCGGGCAGGTGGGGATCGAACTCATGCGGAAGTGGCTTAAGCTTCTTAGTGCTGTGCTTTAACCTGCTGCGCCACCAGGGAGGGCCCCATGAGCTGATTTTACTGCCCTCAAACAAGTCATGACTTACAGTCTGAGGCATACGTCCCAAGAAATGATCAAAATAGTATCTGATGTTCAGGGGCAGCAAGTGTTGGATCCCGCCACTCCAACTTCTGGCAAAGGACTCCATTTAGTATTGTTGAGCACAGCTCATTAGGCTCCAGATATAATTGTTTCAAGATGCAAATTCTAGCATGCAAGTCATTCAGAGACTTGCAAGGCAAAGCAAAACCAAGCCACAGAGTATCTCTGCAGGTCTGGGTAGCCAGTGAAAGCAGCCCTCTAGCTCATAAATGTCAACGAGTTGCAGCACAGTTTGGTTTTCCTGACATTCTGTCCATATTTTACCCTCTGGGCACACTCTTCTCTAAGATTCTGTTTGAAAGCGCCCTTCCTTCTCAGAAAAAGTCTGAATCAGCATTTACATGGGCACCAGGGTGGCAGGGGAAGGAAGAGGGGGCGAAACTCATCATAGCTACAGATGGGAATACTGCCCTGAGCCCTGGAAAGCACAATTACAGAGGTCAGAAAAACACAGGGGCGTGAGGGCCGCACACACATAAAGCACTATTTTTAACAGACTAGGCTCGTAAGGGAAAACCACAGGAATTTATGGCAGGTTCAACTAGGAAGAAAAAAGTCCCCTCCCTAGTCAGTGCTTGTGACACGCCTATGGGTCGCCTTCTCCTCTGCCTTCTCTTCTAGAAAGATCCATGTGCTCTTTCAGTTCTGCATATTTTCCATTTCACTTTGCAAAAACAGGTATCTTGAGTCGAAAAAAGAGATGTTATTAATTTCTCTATCACCTCTACATTGCAATGTCCTCTTATTAACATTATATATTTTAATGTTTTTACTTTGTAATACATCTCAGGGCATTTCTCAGCTTTAACACGACTGACACACATGCAGGATGGTCTCTGCTCTAGGCCAGTGCTGGGCACAGGGGGTGGCCGGCAGCATCCCAGGCATCCACCAGCCCCCACCTGGGCGCACATCCTGGTGGCCAGCAGACGGCGCTGTTTTCACACAAGCTAAGGGCCTTCTGGGCTCGCCAGGTTCTCTTAAGCTTTTATTGCTTATAAGCAAGAAGAACACTCTATCCCCAGGGAAATATCTCCTATTTTTCCTGGGCCTTCATTTGATTAAAAGTTAATAACCTGGCCGCACAAGGAAATTGGCACACTCACTCACTGCCAGTAGAAGTGTAAAACTAGTAAGTTTCTAGAGGAAAATTTGGCAGCACCTATCAAGAAAACCAGGTATCCTCTTTGACCCAGCAATTCTACTGACAGAAATTTAAGCTGAGGGAATAATTAAAGAAGGGAGCAAATCCTTACCTAAGACGACAGTCATGAAAATGTTGTTCACAACAGTAAAAAGTGGAAACAGACTATGAGACAGCAGGTTAAATAAACCAGAGAACATGACCAAGAGGTGGAATGCACGAGGTTTACATTCAAGCACGGTGAGCCTGAGGCTGGCTGGGCCTGGGTAAGGATTTTGTGCACAGAAATGCAGTTACCCCTCCCAGTTGTGCTGATGCTGCTGCCATTCCAGACACAGCTTGTCCAAGGTCACACTGCCAGTAAGTGGGATTCCAAGCCAGTCTGGGCCTCCAGAGTCTCCACGTTTAGCCACTCGGCACACAGTGCTTACACAAAGGAGCATGGGGAGGGGCAGAGCATCGAGTCTAGAAGACGATGAGAGTCTAGAACATTCCACCAGACTTACTGATCGACATGTCACTATGGGGGCTCGGCTGTTTTGGTGATTCAGTCTGAAACTATCCAAACGGGACCAGACGATTCATTTCTAGTTCCTTGCAAAGCTCCGACAGAGAGTTAAGTGATGGGGAGCTGCTTGGTAGGTTACCCCCCATGCAGGGGGTTTCCTCAAGACAGAATGTGACTGTTGGCAAAGATCCTCTTGAAGCTCAGTTCTCTCACCCCACTCCCCTGCTCTCTTCTTTTTGCCTGACACTGTCCATAGATGGTTCCTCGTAATTTCTCATGTCCAGAAAAGCCCATGTTTTTCCAGAAAAGCTGAGCTATGGTTTGCTCACATCGGCAGTTTCTAGGGTGGTGTTACCACCACTGTGCCCCCAGTTCAGGAAGCCCTGAAGGAAGGGGAAATACAGAGCTCCCCGACAGCCGGGTCTGGCCAAAGGCCTGAGGGAAGGAGATGGGCAGATGACAGCCTCTGCAGGCCCCGGGACCCAGCTGTTAGCACTGCTGCTGATCTTGGCAACACAGGACACCCTAAAAATAACTGTAGCTGTGGATGTGCTTAACAAGGTCTTCTGCTCTCCCTGACCCTTGCTAAAACTTGAAAAAAAAAAAAAAGAAAGAAATTAGCAGGCTGGATAAAGCTTGAGTGGAAACTGGCTGTGGCGGGAGAGGCAGAGCAGACATCTGGACGCATTCTGATATGACAGTGAGAATATTTATGGCATCACATGGCCAGTGGAGAATCACTCAGCAGCTTGTGAGTGCGGACAAGATCTGACCTGTTTCTGTATTCCCTGTACTAGGCAGGCACTGGGGCTGACGGGAGTAATCTCGGGCTCCCTCACTGAGAGCAAATCCCCAGGCTGGCTCCAGGTGGAGGCGGGGCCAGGGACTGGGTTTACCTTCTGTTTAATGTCTAAGTATTTGTGTATCTTCTCTGTGAATAAAATAGAAAATTCAAACGATTCTTACGATCTTAGAAGAAGCCTGTATTGACTCGAGTTCAAGAGAGAAGCCATGCAGTACTCATTTGATAAATTACCAAATGTAAAGCAATGCCTGCTTATTATCTTATAGTTCTGGGGGTCAGAATTCCAAAGCCAGTTTCGGGGGCTGAAAGCAAGGCATCACATTCCTTTCTGGAGGCTTTGGGGAGACTGCTTTCTGTCCTCCTTCAGTTTCTAGAAGTCTCCTGCCATCCTTAGCTTGGGAAACCCTCAGAGCCTGTAGTAGTGCATCTTTTCTCTCCTCTGACCGCCACTTCTGTCCCCACAGCTTTTCTCTCTGACTTGGGTCCTTGTTCCTCCTTTACGAGAGCCCTGTGACTGTACTGGATCTACCTGGATAATCCAGGATCATCTCTCACCTCAAGCTCCTTCACTTTTGCCAGTTGAGGTCACAAACTCACACAGCTTCCAGGGAAGAGGCTATGGAAATCTTTGGGGGTCCTGTTGTTCTGCCTACTTCAGGTGGGTTAGAGTTGCCTATGCGGAGACCACAGAAGAAGTGCCATCATCGATACCTCTTTTCCCAGCCACCATCTGGCAGCAGTCTGTTCAAGGACAAAGCTTGAGAGAAGATTGTTGAGGAGCCCTCTGGGGTAGGTTTCCCTGAACTTCAGAGACACCACACAGGACGTGAACAAGGAGGCAGGCTGCTCAGTCACCGCAGTGGCCCCTGCTTAAGGGCAGACAGACACCAGCCTAACCTAAGGATGCCGCCCAGCACCAGGAAGGCCCCAAGTCCCTGTGACCTTGCTGAGACACCGAATTAACACACCCAGTGCAGGGCCTGCTCTCCCTGTGGACCTGCAGCTCCAGTTTTGTAAGAAAGCATGCTTGCTTAAGCCCTGTCATGTGGCCTGCTTGTTGAAAGGAGCGGGTGTGTGGGGGGGGAGGGTGTCCCCACACCAGGACTCAGCTGATGGGGAGAGAATGTGAGCCTGCCCCTCCTGCTGAGGGTGGCACAGCACCTTATGCCAACTTCTCTGTTCTTTGCCACATGGTGCATACAAGGACTCTCCCACAAGCAGCAGTTTTTATAATAAGCCCACACAAAATCAGCCCAGGGTCCACACTGGATAGTCGGGTGATGAAGGAGACGATCAGCAGGAAGAAGTTAAAAGTCCAGTGGCTCAAATGCCCAGTAGATGCTGGGGCCCAAACTGTGGAAATGTTTCCACCATGAAGACACACAAAGCCGCTCTAGCTAGGTATCCCACCCCAATGGCTCCGCTGTACCCCCACGTTGTTTTCTCACTGTCTGGGAGGCTAAAATCCAAACCCAAGGAGGTGGCAGTGTCAGCCCCCGGGACCCTGGTGGGGAGGAGTCTCCCGAACCCTCCTCTGCCCTCCCGGGCCCACCCTGACGTGTAGCAGCTGCTGCGCTCTGGTCTCGGCCATCTTCACACGACACCGCGGGCACGTGTCGTCTCCCGAGATGTGAAGAGCCCTCCTCTCTGCGTGTCCGATGCTCCCATCATATCTTGGTGCCATCTACAAAGACCCTGTTTCCAAATAAGGTCGCACTCATAGGTACGCAGGTTAGGACATCAGCAGAGCTTTTGGGGGTACACCATGCACCCCACTGTTAGCTACTGTGCAGCCATGAAAGGGGTGCAGGAGATGAAGACAAAGCTCAGTCCTTGAGAGGTCCCCGGCTGGAGTCCATGGGGGACACAACTGCAAAATGACGCCACCCT